TAAAGTTTTTGCAAGTTTTATCCCAGACAGACCCAATATGTCCAATTTTGTTTTGCCTGTAGTGTAGCATTTTAGCGAAATCTTAAAAAAATTAACATGACGGAAGGTTTTTCAAATCAATTTTGTGATGTTTTTATAACACAAAACTACAAGAATGTAAGCACTAGTAAATTAAAGATTGAATTTTAGCTTTCTCTAACTAGAAATTTGAAAAAAGTTAACCTTGTGGAAGATTTATGATGTTAAAAAAGGCCTTCTATACTTACGAATGGCTGTCAAAATAATTGAGTTATATGCATAGAGTACGATATAGTGGGACAAGTAATCAAACAAATGTAATCAGAAGAAATTCATTATACTAACCGTTTTTCCTCTAAAATTTTATACAAAGTCATATTTTTGTATGAATTTTGTTATTTTCATTCCAGTACTTTCACTGCTATCAAAACTTTAAGCCTGCAAACTCTAAAAATAATATGTAAGACGAATAATAACCAATGATCAATGTAAAGAGAAAAAAAATGTGAAATGAAAATTGCATTTATTATACCTCTCACTTTTTTCAATTTATTATTGCTTTTAAACTATTATTTTGCAAACTATTGTCTAATACATAAATAACCGATTACAATCGCTTTTTTTTTTGGTAAATTTATTTGAACCATTTATACAAAATATATGCATATGTTAATGGCTAACAAACAGAATAATTCTATATACTAAATTTCATTATATTTTAACAAGTAGAACTTCTAAACTGAGAGCTACATTATATGTATATGGGAATTATAACGCAAAATCAACGTAAGAAATCAACATTTCAAATTTTCTATAATACTCATATTATATACAGTTTCAAATTAATTTGGATTAGTATGACTTTGTAAAAAAGTGAGTTGAAATCCTTTTCAAAAAATTATTTGGTGCAAAAACAAAATTAATTGTATAATTTACCATCTTACAGGAAAACAATTTTGTATTCGATCTTGTAATAATATTAAAATTAAAAATTAAATTGCACACAATAAAATTTCTCGTTTTTTACAAAAAAATTTTAAAAAACTTTTCATATCTTTTTGATAATTATTTAAATAAAATTGTCTAATCAAATTATAAATATTTTATTTGTTAAAAATATTGTATAAATTATTTTACATATCAACTATTTTAAAAGAAATATACACAATTTTCATAGATAGCGTACCGGATACAATTATTGACACTCTTAAGCGGTATTTTTCACAAACTTTTCTTTAAGAATTATAAAAATTTAAGCATTGGTAAAAATAAAGTGAATATTCCCCTTTCATATTCATACACTAAAACTTATCAAATGTCAAATAAAAATATTACAAATTAAATTTGTTTGCGTGAATACCAAAAAGTACAATATTGACAGGCCTTAATAGTACAATTATTGACAACCAAATATAACTATTAAACATGGTATAAATGTACAATTAATACATAAATTAATGAAAATGCTATTCAAATAATAAAACAAACGGAGACTCCGTTGTAAAAATAATAATATTTGAAAGCTAATTCAGACATTTTAAGTTATTTTATACAACTGGGACAAGTAGATAGAAGAATGAGTGCAATGTTCGTTTTATCTGTTACATTTAGTATGATTTTATTACGTATGCATAATATTTAATCCCAGAATATTAATCTAGAAAAAGGAAAGTGCATTTTCAATGCATTGACCCAACATCTGCTATGTTATTACCGATATTGGATCAAGCACCCTCTAGCAAGTTGATATACTGCATAACTATTAAACAATGCTTACATGTACAAAAGGTAATTCTTGCATAAATTCTTGCAAAACTTTATTGCGTAATAGTAAAATGTTGGAGAAGCTTAAAAAAAACGAATATGCATGCATGTACTTATATGAGAATACATACATATATGTATATGTTCTCAAATATCGGGCGTGTCACAAGTTTTAACAATTATTTTAATTATTTTGTCTTACAAAAGCAAAGTTTCATAGTACCTCTTCACTTTGCCGAGTTATTATTCTTAAAAATTTGAAAATGTGCAATTTTTAATTGGTGTCAATATTAGGAAATCAAAATTCGTTCAATTATTGACACCCTCTCTTATAACTATTTAATACTTTTTTTTAAGTATTTCTATTTTGCAAATATAAAATTAGTTAATTATTTATTTTAAAGGTACCACAATTAAATTAAAAATATTACAGTAATCTTCAAAATTGCTAATTTTACATATTGAAGTTCAAAAATAATTTTCACTATTTTTTTGCCTAAAATAAATTTTGTAAAATTCTTTTTTTATTTTTAAAAATTAAAAGCCTGCCAATTAATTTAAATTTATAACAAAGTGTTTATAGATAATAAACAAAGAATAAAGAAAAGGTAATTAGTAATTTGTGATTGACAGTTATAAATACTCGAAAAGCGTGTTTTTGGAGCGGCAATAATTGTATCCATTACGCTATTTTAATATTAAATAAATTTCCAAAAATTTCAATGTACATATATCACCCATATTCTCATAAACAAATTGAAATCGAATATTATACTCAAATTTTGTAATTTACATTGAAAACCTCAAACTTTTGAATATTACATTACCTCAAGTGTGCACGTAGCAAAATAAAAATGTATGTAAATCATATCTAAAAAAAACTTCTTTAACTTCCATTAGAACAAAAGCAAACTGGAAAAAATTCAAATTGGTTATATTCCTTAGCAGTATGCCTTTGGTAAGAAATTGTAAAATAAAAAAAATACATTACATTTCAAATTCATTTTTCTCCCAATATATTTATTAAACCAAATCAATTAAAATTAAAATAGATTTGAATTTAAAGGATAAATAACATTATTCGTTTGCTGTAACTGTTTTCAGTTTCTACTTTAAACTTTCAAAAAAGTTTTATGCATACAAATATATATTAAAGTAACCAACCTTAAAACAGGTTAGACTGTTACACATATGCAAAGTAACATTAGAACATAACTTATAATTTTTAAACTCCCAAAATTTTGGCATACATATAAATATTAAGTGTACTTAAAATTTAGGTTAAAAGGGTAGAAATTATTTATACGAAATAACATGAGGTATTGTTAAATTATTGATAAAGTTTTATTTATTAATAGTACCTCATTTTTGCTGATATAATAAGATGTTTTTCTCCTAAATCGTGAATCCCAAAATTCTATTAAAATTTAAGTGTACTTATGTATATATTTCCCAAATATTTTTATCAAATTTTTATATATGTATGTATTTTCAAATAAATTAATGTTTCAATCAATTGAGACTGTTGTAAATTATTTTCAAAAAGACCTTATTGCAGATCTTAGTTTTTTATTCGATTCATATATGTATGTATATAACATATTTAAATTGAATGCTCAAAAAATTTTTGAACATCAAAATCATACCTTTGAAAAAGTGTATTAATTAGTTTTGAATATTTATTAATTACAAAATGTATGTAAATAATTTAAAAATATTAATTTAATATGCATATACATGATGATTTAATGATAAGTGGAATATTATACAAAGTGTGCGCGACTCAATGATATTCCCGAAGCAGGTGATAGAATGTCTTCAGACGAACAAAAAACACCTAGTGTGATTTTTCTTTTTGGGCTCTTGTTCTTGAGAATGGGCCGCCAAAGTTAGAATAACCGAAAACAGTTTAATTTTTACATTTTTATTTATAACCCAGGAAATATGTCAGTTAAATCCTACTTTGTGTACTCATTTTAAAGCTAATGAAAGTCTCTTTCTAACAATATTCAAGTACAAAGTCAAATTTGCTCAAAAATTTGTTTACTAAGTTTAAAAATTATATCAAAATGAAGGTCAGAATATAGGGCTCTTTTTCCTGTAAAAAACTGCTTAGGTTAAAAACTTGGAATTATGAGTAAATGACGATTAAACGAAAATTTAGTATAAAAATTTTTGAAAAAATTTAATTTTGCCGTTAGAAGGAGAATTTCATTAGCTTTAAAATGAATACACAAAGTTGAATTTACGTGTCATATTTCCCGAGTTATTAATAAAAATCTGAAAATTAGAAGGTTTTCATGTAGTCCAAAAAGAAAAATGTAATTAGATGTTTTTTGTTTGTCTAAAGTCATTCTATCATCCTGCTTCGGGAATACCATTGAGTCGCGGAAACCCTGTATATCATCATTCAAAATGGATAAAATTTTTGTTTTTTGAACTACGAGTCAACTTTCCACAGCTTCCAAGATTTAGGGATTTTTACGAAAAAAAGAATAGATGCTTTAAGCAAACAGCCGTTTTCTAACAAAAAAGTCTTAGTAAACTTAAGCCTTGAAATCAGCATATTATTTAATTTTATATTCTATCCACTTACAGAATACCATTTAAATTTAAGAAAAAAATTAAATTTCTTGCTTATTTTATTTTTTTAAGTATTATCTAACCTAAAAATTTTGTACATTTTTTGAAAATTTAAATTTTTTTTAAAGAATTTTTCCCAGTTTTTATTTTAAAATCATCACCATTTTTGATTAAAAAATAAAGTTTAAGAGACTGGCCAAAATAAAACTTAAAAAAAAACACAAATTGCAAACATTTGTAATTTTTACAATGAATAACAAAAAAATATCCTCTTAATACTTCCACTATTAAGTTTTTCAAAAACTGTTTGTTTGAAGCTTCTATCTTTTTCGGATGGAAGTTATTAAAATCCGTGTATCTCGAATACAGGGATTGATGCCTAGTTCCAAACAAAAATTTTAACCATTTTTATTGTTCTAAGAGATATGTATATAATATTGTGCTCATTACTGACTCACTCTGTAAGTATAATTTTTTTTAATTTGAATTATTACATTTTTAATTTTTTTCAACGAAAAATTTCAGAAGATATAAAATAGCAAAATATTTTTTATTACTTTTTGAAAGTTATGGTAACATTGAAATTATAATAATTTGAAAAATAAAATTCAACGGCATAACTTTCCACATAACACTTCTTTGACATTATGCTATATGAGACAAAAAATAGATTTAAATAGATTTGTTTAGCAATTTTTGAAATTTATCATATTTCTTTGCTTGATTATTTTTGAATATTACACAATTTTTAACTTTATTTATTATACGTTAATGACTATGGCCAAATAAAATTTACATACATATACATATATGTGATTGAAGAATATTGAAAAAGAAAAACATAATTAAATGCTTCGGTTATACATACATACATTCATATATTGTTTGCTAATACATATCTCTATTTAAATTTTTATTCAAATTTTATATGTACATAATATGTATTTATGCTTACAATTTTGTTATCTAGTTTTACATATTTTAAGACTATCTTAATTTTTGCATTAACTTATTGATAACCTAATCACTACTTTAATAATTTGAATAAGCGTATTTTAAAAAATTATTTTTATTTTCTAACAAATGTATCTTAATTTATTCTTTGCGCACTTGACTCACCTTCGTTATTATTAACTGGTTTTCGACTGGATGCAGGGGGGGTTAATAAACCTTCTGGACACAAATGCCTTGAATTTTTGACAGCTGGTGATGCTTCAGGTTGATGCATAGCATATGCATTGGATAGCTGTTCCCGACGTAAAAAGGCTTTTTCCTAAAATTTAAGATAAAAATGGCATTATGTATCGCATTCGACAAATGAAATATTGAAAATTTTTTGAAAATATATTTATACTAACCAACATTGTAATAGATGTTGTGTGTGTTTGTACCATATGTGAATCATCAGTAACAATTTTTGGACAAAAATGGCCCAAACCTTGTTTAGATTGAACTTGTTCATTTTGTTCAGGCAAGAAGAAAAATTGGGCTTCATCTTTTATTATGTCAAAAAAAGGTTGCATCCATTTAAAACAACCGACTAGTGAATCCCAATCATAACCGGAAACACGCACAGCAGTCTCTCTATAAACAAATTGAGTATAGGATATTTTCCATTCAATACCTATTTGCAATAATACTTACTTCCCGAACGTATGACTTATAGCAGTAGCAGCAATAATGGAATAAGGAAAATTGGCTATTTCTAAATCTAAGGTACACAAATCAATCAATTGAGCTGTTTGAGAAAATTCGTATCCAGAAAATTGTGGATAAATAAAGGAATCATCAATCTCTCCTGAACAAACCGAAATTCCACTGTCATTACCAAATAAACTACCTAAGTTTGAGGAATGAGCACTATCACTACCACTATTTCCGCTTTTACACGCTGATTCCTTTGACAGGTTAAAATAAGTGTTGTTATTAAAATTGAAACTATTATTTTCCTTTAAACATGAAATATTTTTATCCTGGCACCTTTTTAAATAATTACAATTATTTTTATTAAGAATTTTGGAGCTTAGTACAGATGCATCTTTTGTGCTTCCTTGACACGTGCTTTTCAAAAACGCAGAACCTGATTTGTTGGTAATATTTAATTGCATATAAATACCTAACCAGCCCATTATAGTAACAGGAGTGATTTTCCAATCTAACGCTGATAGCAGTAATAGTTCATGTTGTAAAATATCTTCCTCTTGACAAGCTCCATCAGTTACATAGGCGAACTCCCCAATCTTTGGTGGATAAATTTCTTCCACTTTAGCTGCAACAAATAAACACGTTATTCCAATTAACTGAAGATGAGTCTTTTGAATGTTTTTTTGAGTTGATAAATAGCGATCCAAATAATCTACCGCTAAATAATAGGTTTCTCTGTGAAGCTTATAGACTTCACAAACTTCTATAAGCCAATCCAATAATATTGCCCTCATACGCGGTTGTAATCCAAAATGATTACTCATCATTGAAGACGTTCTTTCTGAAGCAGCTTTCTCATCGGTTTTGCACATCGCGTTCCAAACATCTGAAGCATTTGCCCATGATAAAGCTGGTAAAGGACATGGTCGCATGTCGAGGGATGGTGTTAGAGCTCGATTCTTATGGGGTGTGGCGTGATATTCATTTATTTTTCCAATACTTTCTTGCAATTTTTCATAATCTCGAGAATTGCTTGTTGAAGACTCCAATACTAAAGTTGATTCATCTGAACTTGGTACAAAATCGAATTCGACTCCAGTAGATAAGCAGGAAGAAGAACTGGCAGCGTCCATTTCTTGTTCTATAAACTCACCGATTTCATTAACAGCTATCGGTGATGGCGAAGAATTGAGAGACGATGATTCAACTGAGCTAGACAAGGAACATACTTCTCTATTTCTGTATGAATTTGGAGTTCTTGAACGTAATACTCCTCCAAACGAAGTCGATGCAACTGGAACAAACACATTAAAAGAACTTAAAGAATCCATCATTTGCATTCGTTTTGGTGCAGGTGCATCAGAAAAATCCTATAAAAATTTTCAATAGTTGTATAAAAAAGTTAAAAAATTGAAAAGCATATTTTAAATATGTATTTATATAAATAAATATTTATCTAAATAAATATTACTTTTTATAACGTATTTTATGTATAAAGCACATATTATGAAACCTTTTATATTTCAATACATAATAATACATATAAATATGAATTCTAAATTGAACAAAGCAAAAATTTTCGATTTGAACATCAGAAATATCTCAAAAGAAATACCTATGCTTTGAATGATTACGATGTTATAAGTTTCTTAATTAAAATTTTTATTTAAATTTTAAACATTAGGAAAGCTCCCTTTTTTTAATCTTTTTGATTAATATCTCTATAAACACTGAATATTTGATCAAGAATCCTGCACACGTTTTCTAAGGAAATAAAATAAATCCTGTAGATAATATCAAAAAGGATTGCAAAAAAAGAAACAAAAGATATATAACTAACGAATATTCTTAGGTATGTACTCATTTTTTTCTCTAAAATATATGCAGTAAAACTAACGTACCAACTGAAATGATCTTACACAAATTCATGCAAGCACAAAAAGTAACAATTCCTGTAAGGGTATCTGCAAAGTACATTTCTTCACTGAAGGGTGCGTTAAAATATATAAAAAGGAATGAAAATAATAAAATAAAAATTTAAAAATACACCTGGATTTTTCGCTTTTACATTTTGATACAGTATCGCATTTTAAATGTATGTATTTGCGTACATAACATGATTACGATTAACTGTTTTAAAATAACAAGGACTACTAACAATAGTTAGAATATTAACATAAAAAAAATATCATGTATGAATTACTGTAACATAAAGTTACATATATTATAACTCTATTTTACTTAATAATTGTTTTCATTTTGCCAAAATTTTAATATTATTTAAAACATTGATTTTGAAAATTAATTTCATTATGAACTTTTAATTTTTCTTCTCGAAACATACAAATATTTTCAAAAAATTGCAGATATCGCCATGCTCAAGATTATTTCTTGATTCTGTCATGGCAATACTTAATGGTTAAATTAATATACATACTTATATACATACAAAGAATTATCCTTTGAAAATTTTTTTTGATTATAAACTTACATATGTATGTTTATTGATATAGATATACATATGTGCATATAAATGCATGTGGCATTGTTTGTTCATAAGGGGACAATATATATTTGAATATATGCATATACATACGTTATGTATAGATAACTAAATTTGTGAAGCATATTTAGTACAAAAATAATTTATACAATATCCAAAAAAAAGGCAGATGTGAACAACGAAAATGCGCAAACAACAATTTTTCTTACCTTTTCTTACTTTTAAGAAATATTTTATTCTCGTTTTTCAATGACTTGAGAGTATTTTGTAAAAATTCATTCTTATACCTAAACACCAATATTAGAAAGCATTGTACTTTTGTCTCTCTATATTCATAATAAATATATCAAGCTATATATTAAATAATTGGGAGTAGAAAATTGAGTAGTATACACAGTTAGATATAAGGATTTAGCTGATTAACAAACATCATCATTGAATTAAAATTTAAATAAATGAATCAAGTCCACGATTTCAAACAAAAAAAATTTAAAACTAACTTCAAATTATGACTAAAACTAAATTACTATCAAAAAATAAATAATAATCAAATTTAAAACATACCTCTTCATTTAAACTTGAACGCCTTTTCTTCCTTTGATTTTTGTCACAAGAATTCAATTTTGTAAAGATTTCTTGTGAGTTACTAAGTTTATTTTTGCTATAGTGTTCCTTGTTTTTGACTAATTGACTAGACGAACTTGAACTTAATTTTATATTGCTAATATAATTGTACGGTTCATTCATATTATGAATAGGTGTTTCCGAACTTGTTATACTTGTTGCGTCAAGGACCAATTCATTTGATTTAATATTACTTTTGCCATCTGTAGTTCCAGAACTGGAAGAGCTTGTTGCATTAAAACTTACGTCAATTTTTTGATCTTGTTCTGTTGCGGGCGCACAGAATAAGGCGTTAGATTTATGAGTTATATTTTTTTCAACAGATGTATTAAAAAATTTAGCTAGATCAAAATTCGTAGATTTGCTTGAGTTTTTTTTGGTGTTATTGAAAGTTATATTTGGGCTATTCTTCCTTTTCATATTTTTCAAACTACCACTGCTGGTTGATCTACTTAAACGCTTAGTTGTACTGCAAAAATATTAAAAATTTACCTTAATGAAAATGCGCAATAAATCACATATTTATACTTCTAAAGCTTGTTATAGGTATCTAACAACTTCATTCATAAACTTATCATCATATTATTTAATATTTTTGAAAATTTGTACAAAATTTAAGATTCTTAAACAAAATACTATGAAATATTTTTTGAAACAATACTAAGAAATTTTTAAATGGTTAAGGTACTGAAACTTTGAAATATAACAGACGTATACAATACAATCATCATGACACAAAATGTAAAGTAGCAATTTTCTTCCCAGAACATTTTCTTATAACCACGCAGTAATTCACTGCAAATATTATCTCGAAGTGTAAACTATATCACAAAGGGTTTTAAGCATTTAAATATAACGAAAAAAATTTACTGTGATGTAAGACCTTAGCTTAAAATTTATTTTATTTTCATTAGAAAAAGTCATCTATAATTATATACATATATTTATAATTATATACATACGCTTCGTTTTTTTTCAAAAACCATACTGTATCGATAAAAGTGATCTATGCAATTTTTATATAAAAACATACTATAAATTTTGTCAAGAAGCTCAGTTAGAATTTACATAGATATTTTATTTTATCTCTGCCAAAAAGAAATTTAAAATACATTCTATTATATTTTTATGAAAAAAGTTACTTACCTTCTATATTCCATTTTATAATACCAAATAAATTTAAAGTTGTGTATTGGTTGTATTTTTAATTAGGATAATTATGTATGTAATAATCATGAATCTAAAAAATTAAAAATGAAATTTAGAAAATATTTTTTGCTAAAGTACGTAAAAAAGAAAAGAAAAACATTCAAAAATATGAAATACCTAAATTCAGAAATATGGATAAGTTCCAGAAATGCAATACTAAAAAAGGTACATACATATGTATGTAGTACATAGCTTTACTTAATATTACATCCGCCAATATTGAGAAGATTTGATATTAAATAGGTACGCTACATACTTTTAAAATTACTTTCATCAATTATACTATAGATTATTTATATCAATTATGCTATAGATATTATAAACCGTAATCTTTTTTATAGACAAAATATTTAACCTACATAATAAAATATAGAACATAATTTGGAAATTTCCTTTCTTGAACAATTTTTGTAAATTCAATGTACAATGAAAAATTTTAAAAATAAAATGCATGTTAAAAGTTACTTTATTAAAAAATTCTAATAAGAATGTCATTATTCAACGGGCACATTGAGAAACTCAAGTAAGTAATATAAATATTCTTGGACAAGCTGCTAGGTAGGTACCTATATACTAGAACAAGATATATTTATGGTTGGAATTTACACAAATTTCTTAGAAATGTTATTTCAAAGAATCTTGATAGGTATATAGGTTTTGCAATTGAACCTAATTACTACGTTATCTTTGTATGTGTTTGAAACTACTTACAAAAACTGCACAAAAATACGTTAACTCAATAATAATTGAACATTTACATATATCCTTTTTGATTTTTGTAAACTAAAGAGGGAATATAAACTAAGCAAGGTCCCCGTTTTACCACTATTTTAGCTAGGCACTATTTTCTTATATGTAAAAAAAAATTTCTCTTCTACTTCAGTATTTATTTTGATAGGTACATTCATCCATATAAACGCGGCTGTCTATACATAATGAAATCTATATATGTATATAATTATATTTTATACTTATTACTTGTACTTATTTGGATTTAAATTTTCGCAGGTTCAAAAAATTAGTAGACAAAATAAACATACATATATACATACCTATACCTATCTCTTATTTTATCAAAAATATTTTGTTGGTTATACGATATACATTATTAAAATTAAAATTCTAATATAATTATATATTTGGATATATTTACACCTTTACTTTCTCAAGTGCACAATTTATTTCAAAAAACTTATATACGTATATATTTTATGCAAAAAACTTTATTTTAACACTATAATTAGGCACGACAATAAGCAATAAAAAGTTATCACTACTAAACATTCAAATTAATAGTTTGTTTAATTTTATAAATTTATATTTTAGTTTTATAATTTTAAATTATTAAAATTTAAACTCTTATTTAAAAGCACCGTGTATCATAAATTATAATTAAATTTAAAAAAATCTTGAACAATTTTCATGCCGGGCTATTAAGGCAAAGGCATATTTTACAAACTGTCTATTATACGCTTGACTCTTTCTCATTCCTTTGAAATTTCATACATGTAAATTTAAAGAGAATAAAAACTAATACATACTAGAATATAATTTTAACTAATCTTTTCGAATAATGCAATAAACCTACAATTTTTCCTTATAAACATGGGTACTGAACTGATACTATTTTAAACAATCAACGACTTGTCTCACTCCCGTTTTCACATACATACATATTATATACTTATAACTATTAATTTTGAGAATCAGCCCGCCACATCAAAAGTAAATTCTGTAAATTGACACACAAATTGGCGGTTAATATTGTTTCAGTAAAATTTTTTATATTTTGATAATTTTTAATTTATATGAAACTTTAAAATTTTAGCTTTCCAATCATAATAATTTTATTCTGATATTTTCATTAGAAATTGTCTTAAATTCAATCTAAAATTAAGGCTTACCCGCCAAATTTTCTTATATCAAAACGTGGTGTACACGTCAAATGTCAAATAAATGAGTTAAAATAAACAAATATTTAAATACATAAATTTATTTATTCATGAATGAAATTTATAAAAATTTATTTAAAAATAAATAATATAAATTGTCCAGAGTCAAATTTTGTAAATTGAATAAAAATATTTTTGAAATTAGTTTAAATAAATATTAATTCAAAAAACCATTTCCCGCGCGCGCCAAGTTTTTTTTCATGATGAAAAAGATGTATTTTTTTCATTTCAACATTGTATAAAGCAATATTCAGTATCTTCTTTTTTACTCTTCATTTTTCACCACAAACAAATATTTTACTTTTTAAAGATCGTTTGTGTGCGTAAAGAAGCTCAATTATATCTATGCAGAGTAGAATTTATTGAGAATTAAATCATTCTTTCTAAATACACTTACGTAGAGTACATCGCACACATATATTTTTAAATTCACCACGAAATACATAATAATCATGATCATATGAATTTTAATAATACATAATCGTATAAAATTTTATTGTATTAACAATTTACCAGCTGATTGATTCAATACTTAGAGAAAAAAGATCTTATATTATTCATTATTTCATTCACCCAAATAACTTGACCTCCATAATACAATTTACATATTATGTCGATTAAAACATCGGAAAACTATTGCATTGTAACAAAATTTCTAAATATTTTAACCCTGTTCAGATAAAACTTCTTTATTTATTTAATTCAAAAATGTTATGCAATTTACTAATTTCTCTTCTACCTTTAGCACTTTTGAAAATTTTTTTGATTTAACTACATACATATGTGCGAACTGTTAGAATTTTCATTTCATTTCTTCTTTTCTTGGACAATTCTTGCATAAATTCGGTCTTTTCAGAACGGTATGTTTTATAATTTTATCTTTTACCTACCTTTAATTTTAATTTCAAGTGAAATAAAACATCCAAGCCAAGCGTAGGAATTAATTTGTTACCGCCAACATTTTGTACTAGATATGTTATAAGAACAACTAAATTCAACACAACTATCAATTTTACATATTCTTTTTAAGGTTCTGATTTTTAAAAATCATTTTCAAAATATAGGTAGACACACGAATTTTGAACGTATTAAATTACACAGTTCCTTTAAATTGTACTTTTAAAATCCATGAGTTAATACTGAAAAATTACATACAAAAATAACATACCCACATATCGTAAATTTTGATTATTTTATATAAATTTTTTTAAATTAATATTATCAAAATTTTTGTTTATCATAATATTATCATACACAATTATTGATCTATGGAAATACAAATATATATTTTTAAACATTGCTTCAAACATTATTTAAACATTACTTTTAAACATTTTTATAATTTTAGCTTTCATTGATAAGCGTTCAAGTTTCAATTTTGTAAACTAATATCTTAGCCAAAACAACTTAAAATTTGCTTATAACCATTTTTTTGTTTTTAATTAAAGATTTTTTTAGAAACCACACGTAAATACCACCACATTTAATTTACAAATGCAACCTCAACTCAACATATTAATATTTTTATCTCAGAGTAATTTCGAAATTAAAAAAAACTTTTAATATCGAAATTATTTTCATGTTCACCAGACCCGATTCTCTTTGTTTTTTTTTTTGTTTACAAAAATATAAAAATTTCATCCTTCTTGTTCTATAATCGACATAATATTGTTGACGTTTTTCAAGCTTTTTTAAGTTTAGCATTCAATTAGATTATCCATTTTTTAAATAATTTACGTTAAAATAATATTTTCTATTTTCCCAAAAATATATAGTACAGATTGTTGATTTTATCAGAAACAATTTTTTGCAAAAATTAGATCTTAATCTTATTCCGTTAATTACAAATGAAAAAATCATTTCAACATAGAATATTGTACATAGTAATATTAATGACTGAAAAAAGCATATATTCTTATTAACTTCCTTCACGAGGACATAATAAAAAATATTAATGCTCTAAGCTTACTGGTAACGTAAGAATACCACCTTTGCAAACACATTTTTAAACATTCTCAACTTATAGTTATTTTTGAATTGTAGTAAGACTAAAATTATTAAGATTAAATTTTCACATTTAAAATGAGGTTTTTTCGTTGACATCTCGGAAATTTTCCAAACAGGTGAGTTTTGTTTTATTTTGCGTGATTCTTACATTTCAACGATAATGGCCAGTCAGATATTATTTTTTTAAGTGTTTTGGAAGTATATCTTATTATTTTATAAAAATTTGGCAAAAAAATTATTATTGGGGTTGTAAATATAGGTGGTACCACAGACATACCACTAAGTAGCTAGATATGTGTATATGCTGGATATTCAACGTATTAAAACATATTTTTACAGATATGTTAAATTGAACGTTTTTCGAATTTGAAAACTAAAGAGACAGAGTATAAAATGGTGGCACAGGATATTTTTGCATTTTGTTGATATCTGTATGGTAAATTTACATATTATATATAAATCTAGATGTTTCAGAAATACAAAACCTAACAATTTCAAGCCATACGTTTCATCTAAAAAAAGGTTTGTCCAATCAGCCTAACTGCAATTTTATGGGGCATTAAGGAGACGTGCGCTCTGCAGTTCGAAGGCATAACAACACAGAATACGTTGGTCTCGCAAATTGTGCAAAGTAACTCTATGTTTAACTGATAAAAAACTGTTTCAAAATATAATAAAAATTAAAATGCAATTTTTAAAATAATTAATATGCGTACCGGCTTAGTGCTAACCTGAGGATACCACCTCAAAAACCATTTTCCAATTAAATTTAAAAAAATTAATGGTGTTTGTTTGCATGCATTTAGAGATCCATTGCCATAACAAAATGTTTAAATATATTTAAAATCAAAATTCTGTCCGGAAACAGAAATAAAAATTAAGTAGCATGTTAAAATTAAAAAACTTCAAAAAATTTAAAATTTTATAAAACAAAACACGCTCATGAAACAACAATATGCAATTTTCTCAGTTGGAAATCGTGCGCCGTTGCAATTGCCGTTCATCACTTTGGTTCTGTTTTTATTAACACTGTTTTTTACTTGTGAAGATAAGGTGTAATATGTACTTAAAAAACAATTTTATTGACCATTTATACATATGTATATAAATTAAAATACGAAACTACCAATTGCTACCAATATGATAAATCATTATTGGAAATTTGACGTTTTAAAAAATCCCCTCGCTAATTGTTAAAACAACAAAAATGATGAACGGCAACGGAGGATTATTTTCGTTGTTAACCTATAGCAAGAACAGAACAGAAAAAACAAGTGCCTTACCAAATAATAAACATTTCGCATTTTGATATGCGAAATGTAAGAAACAGATAATTTAAAAAAAACCGCCAGCGGTAAAATAGGATATTGGACTATTTTATCGACGGCAGTAATTTGGTTTGATTGTAGGCTACCTATTGGTCTTTCTGGAAAAAGCTGATTGTTCGTCTGAAAAAAGCTGATATGTACATTTATTACTTTTTTGACAAGAATAGATATGTAATTGAAATAGTTCTGTACATGTAAATTTGACGTTTTAAAAAACCTCAGCACTAAAGTTGAAGTTAATTTTTCTTTAAACTTGTTGAAAGAGAGAAAATAAGCTGAACTAAAAGTAAAGAGAATGTCAAAAATCCAAATTTTCATACAAAATATATCAGTTCGTCACTAAACTGACGAACTAATGAATCCAGCTTTTATTTACATACTATGTAATTCGGGTTTTATCTCGTAAAGCAACTTATTTTTGATAAATTTTTCTAAAAGAGAGAACGACCCTTTAAAACTGGCAAAATATAAGAATTTAATATTTATTAATTAGATAATCTAGATTCTAGCTTGAAAAAAAAACTGCAAAAGAACGACTTTATCTTTTTTTATAAAAATGAAACTGTTTGTATACCTCGCTATCTTACATGGCAAATGAGAAAAAAGGTGAGTAACTATCCTATATTTGTATAATGCGATTTCTAAGTGAGAAGATTTACTCGGTATTGTGTATCTCGTGTTTTTCTAAAATGTATACAAAATTTATTCACTTTGCTTTTGAAAGAGAGGCATTCAGTCGATAATTTGAGAAAAAATGCAAAAATCGAATTGAAGAAATTACAAATTTTCATGGAAAAATGAAATATCCATTATGAAAACGGAAAATTCTGATTTTAAAGCCGATACACGATTAGGCTGTTAATGTGAAGCTTAAACTTATCATAACAATCATGAATGAATGTCTCGCAAGGAAAATTAAGTTTCTACAAGTGTCACCACTAAAATGTAATGTTAACAATTGTATCAGCTGTATATCCTATTTCACATTTTATTTTTAAAAATCTCAAGGAAGTTTTTTTTAATTGATGTATGGTAAAATCGAAAAAGTAAAAAAAAATCTCTTCTGCACCAACCGTTTTCCTAACATTTGCTTTTACTTTTTAACTGTTAAAAAAGTACAGCAAGAACTGCAAGTTTTTTAAGTTTTCAAAAAAGATTAAAGTACGAAAAATTTATTAGACATTTTGATTCTAGCACTTTATTACAAACAATATTTTTGTTTGCTATAATAAATAAATTGCCGAGAAAAAAATTTTTGCCTTCCCTTCTATTTTTTGCGGTTTTCATCATTTTTCTTTCAACTGCGGTTGCTCTTGAAAATATTTAGATAGTTGTTATAAATACGCTTAAAGTCTAGTTAGAACACTTCTAAAAAACTTTGACATAACCAAATCTTATAATTTTGACATACACATACATGTCCATAAACCTAACAGCAAAACCTCCAAAATATATTTTTGGGAGATCAAAATCCATTTACAAAAGTTATATGCACACATGTAAATAAAACACATACATTGTGAACTTTATTTATTAAAGATTCTGTTTACTAAAAATTGATCTCAACAGAAGTTAAATACTCAACTAAACCACAGTATGTATGCATGTGTATGTACTTTACTTATAGTATACTTCTCCTATGCACACATAACTATTGCATTCTCATTTTCAAATTTAAATTTAAATGAAAAAAAATTGTGGTGAAACTTAAAAAGTGAAAATCACCCCTAATTTCGAAAAATAGCAAAACCCAACTGTATACATATGTTAACATAATATGTTATGTTTATGCATATAATTTTTTCTCCATAACTATAATCACCACTAAAAGAAGGGTACATTATAGTCATGAGCAATGTCGTTCATTTCAGTGATTCGTTCTTAACGAACTACTCTTTTTTACTCACAGATTACAAAATCTCGTTCAATCGTTCATTGCGTTCACTTTTCTTCTGTATAATATACAGAATATTATTATAATTGCATTATTATTATAATTACATATATTATTATAATTATATATTATAAACTGCATGTTTTTTGGTTATAATTATATGGCTATTCGTATTTATGGTAAATTTTAAAGAAAGGAATATGTAATGGGTTTTCTAAATTAGTAATAAGTTTTGAACCACAAAATATCTCTACTTATATAAACAAAAAAGTTTAAAACACAGAGAAAAATTTAAAACTTTTACTTAAAAAACTGTTAAATTATAAAACAGTTAAATTAAAAATAATTTCCTAAATTTGGAGAAATAAAAATTTTAAAACATTTGAGTTTAAATTTATTATTTATAAGAAATTTATAGAATAAAAAATAAAAATAACCAAATTTTAACCTAACTTAATTTAATTTTATTTCTTTCTTGCCTACACAACTTACCATCTATTTCTAAATAAAAATGGAATAGCTTAAGAATTTGGAAGCAAAATGCAAATGAAAACTAACGAAATAGAACGAGTCGAATTACTTTTTAGTAGATATACTTTGGTATATCAATTACTAATTGTAAATAAAATATGTATATGTAGTCGTTTTTTTTAATAAATAAAAAAGAGAATTGGAATCCTTGGTGAACGATGAACGATTCATTTCAGTTCAGTGAAAAGATTCGTTCTTTAAGGTTAGTTCGTTCGCGAACCACACATGACTAGAACAATAATGCCACTTTCATGTTCGAAAATATAAAAATGCCAATATTTATTACTCTCGACCTTATTATAGTTTAGGTTTACTTACTCTTTAAAACTTTTTAATTTATATAAAAATTGCAAATATTATCCAGGGTGTTTCACTAGTGGCAAAAATTTCAGGAATGATTCTTTGATCAATTTCCAGTAAAACATTGTATGGGTGGGGGAAGGCGGGAGGGTTCAAGATATATTCGTTTTCGAGCTACCCTCTTGAAAAAAAAGGTACCAGACTACATAAAAATAAATGCTTATAGCTTCGGAACTATACAACATAGGGTTATGATTAGGAGTTTGTCTTACAGGCAATTGATTGTTCTTTATTTTTGGTCTTACAATTAATTTGATTTGAGCCATAGTTTCCGAGATACAGCTCATCAAAGTCAGAATTTTTGTTTTTAAATTCTTGAAACGAATTTTTTTGTTATAATTTTTTCTTTTTCGATTTTTTGTTATTGTTATTTTCGCTACCATGAGATCTATAAGTTAACCTATATAATACGTTCCTTTATCTCTCATAATTTTGCTAGTAAAGCTCGTTTTTTTAGATCTCATCGTGAATTCTGAAATTATTTGCCACCTTATTCGAAACACCTGTATAAAAATTATTCAAAAAGAATTAATATAAGAAGTTTAAATTTAATGTGCAATAAATAAACTTTAACTTCACATGGTGTATATTTTTCAAATTGGAAATAATGAGAACCCTTATAACTTCTGAAAATTTTAAAATTGCTGTAAAAATTAGTTCTAAAAAAAGGTATTAAGAATTTTGGAAAATATTTGAAAACCTTTTCTGAACATAGCATTTATCTACCATTTACGTGTTCCAATTGCCCGACATGAATAGTCAAAATAAGCATAACTACATTACTACAAAATGCGTAGATGATCTATTTTTTTTCCAGTAGGTGGAAATAGTAAATCTGTCTGGTATAAGAAAGTTTTTGCGCGCAAAGTGTCTGGGATAATACTCTTTAAACAAAAATGAGAGAAAATTATGACATTCTCATTTTTCAATTAGTGTTTTAAAAACTTTTCAAATCTTACAGCTGGCGAAACATATGTTTTTCTTTATTAAGTCACAAGGTTTTATTTTTGAAAAAACAAAAAAATTTCGTCAACAATAATTTTTTTTTCAAAATTTTTCAATTAAAGACAAAATAACCAAAATGAGTTTACAAATTGTCTTTTTCTAAACTTCACACTTTTACAATCCGAAATCAAAATGTTCGGTTTGTAGTTAAAAATTTAAAACTCAATCTTTTTCTGCTGTACTACATTCTTATGTTAAGTTCTGCGTTATTCAAACATTGAAAAATTGATTTAAAAAAAAAGCCTTCTGTGCAAATTATTTTAAGATTTCAATAAATGCTACACTACAAGAAAAAGTAATGGTGAAATTTTTTTTCAAAGTATGTATTAAAATGACATTTTGTCAAATTTGAGGAAATGTACATTTGATATTAACAAGTATTCCTAATAATGTATGTACATAATGTATGTGCTTCTTATATATCACATATATATTTACATACATATGTAATATGTATATATTTTTCATGTCTATACTAATTAAATTTATATGCTATATAATTCATAAAAATTACCGCATATTTGTATTCTTTTTATATTAAAAAACCATTAATACTTTTAGGTACTTTTAGGTAACACTGTGAAGGCAGCTGGTTGAAAAAAAGGTTTGCTTTACGTATTTAAATGGTTTTGGATCACTTCTCACAAAAATACCATTCAGCCATTTGATTGTAATTCGCTCAATGATGTCTGTGGGAAGTGAATAGACGACGGTCATTGGTCAAATGTCGATACTTATTTCTGTAACAAAACATTTTGCTATGACTGCCATCGCTGGAGTAGAATAAGAAATAACATTATTCTATTCCAATGGGCACGTAGTGCGTATATTACTTAGATACGGATATACGCATAAGGTAACTGATGTGGCACATCACATATGTAATCTGACATTTATTGTCAAGAATTTATTATATGTATGTGATTTTATGCGGGTTTTATATTCAAAATTATTTTCCAAAAGAAGTTTATATTGTTAAATTTCAAGTCTGCACTTCACATATGTATGCGGATTGACAATAAGCAGATCAATTTGACGTTAGAAAAAAGGAATCAAACAAGAAATAAAAAAAAATTGTTAAATCAAAATCAAAAAATAAATTAAAAATAATTTATTTTATAAATGTACATACGCGTTGCTAAAATCGAAAATTCCAATATATTGCGTACGGGCGTAGCTCATCTAAGTTAAAACAGAACAAGAGTGGTTTTCCCCGGCGAAATGTCAGAATTAGTATAGAATACACACATTTAAATAATAACTGACAAATGGTGTAGTGGTTATTGCACTGATCCTTTAATAGAAGGGTCTCGGGTTCAAAACCCAATCAGGTAACTATTAAAATTATATTCAATATTATATAGCTTAACACTCATTACATATAAAAATAAATAATTAATATTAGCTAATTTCCATATTTCAATAATATCTAATATTAAAAACACCAGCAAAATACCTAGTAAACTTAATGATGTAAGAAAGTGGTTCATGGTTACCTACAATATCGTGTACCAGCCCTATGCTCCTCCCAGGAGCGAAGTAGGAATAAAAAAACAAATTTAAATGGGGTCGCCCAAAATCAAACGAAATTGCAGTGGCGAATTCAACCGCCTTTACCGCTGGCGTTTTTTTGACACTTGCCAGTATCTGCTTGCATGTGTGTGTCACATTGTATACAAATTACTGAAGAGTTGATTTTGCTTTTCCACTCTTTTTAATAACGGAAATTGTGTGCCGTTTTCTTTCACCGCCTTGGTTCTGTTTTTAAAATTAAGTCACTTTATTAAGTGCTGGTACGAGCACTATGCGTTACGCGTCGTCCGTTTAGAAAAATGTCTCAATATGACTACTAATTTTGGGCTTACTTTCTTCTTTCTTATACCTACTATTCATTTTAAAAGGAACTTTCGTAATCCTTAAACTGGTAGATACATATCGGTATTAGAGTAAATCTACGATTTAATCTTAAGTTAAACCGTTAAACAATTTTCCTATTCGGAAAAATGTTAACCTTGCATCAATAAATTTGTATGGTACTACGTTTCTACAAATACGAAAGTCAAATTATGTATGTACATAGTAAGGCATCTGAAAATAAATGGCGTTATACACAAGTATAACAAGTACATACATACATATGTATTTTTATATCAGTTATTCATATTATTAAGGAGGTGAATGGTGGAACCTATGGTTGGATAGAATGTGGGAACGTGGTACATTGCACATACTGGAATAAATAAATGAAGCTCTTAGTAAATATAGGTACGCTTATTTAGCGAACCGTCACTATACACAATAACATCACCCGGCTTTAAGTAAATACGAAATTCAACTTCCAAAATTAAATTTTAATTCTGAATAAACAATTTATTTATGTTCATACGCACTACCAGTTCTTTCTTTCGACAGAATAAAAATTAAAATATCGAATTTAGTAGTAGTACATATATTTGTGACCTAGTAAATATCAGCTCGATAAAATTACAATTATATTGGAGAATTATTGAAACCTCTTGAGGCATAATCTGATGGCTTATTTCGTTCAGATATCTTTGGAAAACCTGGATCTCCTGGATTGCAAGCTCTGCGCGATGAAATGACTCTCCATCCACCTTTTCTTGTCCAATCCTTAAGAAAAGAAAGAACTCGTTAAATTATTTCACATGACTTAACATTAATTTTTTTCTCATTTACTTCCTTACATTTGCATTATATTTGAAATAGTAAGCTCCTAAATAAATTCCACTTATTGCCAATAAGCCTTTTCCCAAAAAAAACCTGACACCATACGCTTTTTGAAAGCCCTAACAATTTTTTTTTTTACTTTGGTTAATTACATAATACTAATTTGTAAGTCTTACAATGGTGGGAGTAAGGATTTCGCATAATTTATCTAGAGGTGCACGGTAGAAACGTCGAATTGGGTTTTTAAAATGACGTTCTAGTTCTGGTACTCGCTTTGGTTCGTGGTGCAACTCTTGATCTTTTAACCATTTGGCACGCCATGCTCTTTCTTCATCAGACATACCAATTAAACGCTCACGTTCTCGAACCATACGACCAGCAATAGCCATGGGAGTCGTACCACCGGTTGGGGATGCCATTTCCGAAAATTCGTGTACTTTTCTACAAAAAATATTAAATAATCAAAGCTGTAACATGTATTTAAAATACTTTCCAAATACTTTTTCCAAATCAAAGAAAAAATTCCAAATTGTGTTCAAATAAATATATTTTGTCACCTTCAGCTGATAATATTTGTCATAAGTGTAAGATGTAAAATCTTCTAAAATTGTCACAGCTAAACGTCAATGTCACTCTTTTTAAAATAAATTTCTACCTCGACATGACAAAAATAAGGGCCTAAAAACTTAGGGAAAAACAGCAGAAAATAATAACCTTATTAATAAAATCATTTTTACATATTAGGTTATAATATAAGTTTAAAATTAGATTTTATAATATAAGTTTAAAATTAGATTTTATAATAATTATAAAATTATAATAGCGCTATTATTATTATGAACTTACATATGTACATATATCCACTGAATTGCACCAAGGGGTAATTATCGCTAATCGCTGTTAGGTCAACGAATTAGAAATAATATAGAAAGGTTAATTTTGCAAAAAAAAAATGAAGCCAAATTTTTCCTAGTTGTTTGTCTGTGTTCTAACCATTGTCAAAGTCTTAACAGGAGCGTATTTATTTTATTTTTTTATTTGAAATATCTGTAAAAAAATAAAATTATTTTATGAACTAAAATTAAATATACATATTTTTATACTATAATACCTTACAGCTCTTGAAAGTAAACATATTTTTTTTGTATTTTGTGAGGTTTCATTAATTTTTTGAATTTCGTATACAAAATGACATTTTTAGCAAATTTTAATTAATATTTTGGTTATTACTCATTAAAAAATATGGTTATTATCGTAAACTTTCTTATTAATTAACTGAGCTTCACATACTTATTTATTCTGAAAGAATATATTTTATAAGTAATTCACACTAATATTTTATTTTACTTACTACATTTATTCAACGACATCGCTTGCGTCTTCATATATGTATGTACATATTTCATTGTTGAGTAAATCTGCACTCTATAAAGGGAAAGGGAAATATTGACACATGCATATGGTGGAAAACATCAATTTTTTTTTTCAAATAGGAATGACAATTTCTTTTTCCAAAAAAACTTGTTCTTTTTTCAGTTTGTTATATTTTTTTAAAAAGTTTAAATTAAATAATAGTTTTTTAAAAATGTTTTTCGAAATATCATATAATTTTTCATTCACAAACTTTACTAATTTAAAAAAAAATCACGCTTTTATGTTTAAACCACTAATGAGCTCCCAAAACTGAGAAAAACTACACTGTGGAGTTAAGTTATTTTTTTTCCAAATAAATGAAAATAGAACTTCCAGGTAAATGTACTTTTTATTTTCAACAGGTGAATCATGTGTATTTAGAGGTATTTTGGCCTTTCATTGTAATATTTCAAATCTTTTTTTAAAAAATGTACATATACTAGAAGAAAAAAAAAGCTATTAGAAGAAAAAGTCGTTACTCTAAAAAAATTAAGGTATCCATTGCTACATACCGAAAAAGACCATACCATTTTCAAACTACGTATGTATATAAGCTCATGAGTAAATGGAATACAAATAATATAATAATATGATTCCTAGAAAAAAAATATATGAACTGAAGACTTAAACTGAAATGAATTTATTTGATGAAGCTCAGACGCATAAGCAGTGTTTCAAATCTGGCCCAACGTGTACAATTTTCCTTGTTTAAAATCATTTTGTCCCTATTGTCCATTTTTCTCTTAAATTCCTGTTTGGCCCATTTTCTTAATATTGAAAAGGACCTTAATTTTTCTCTTTATAAAAGTTCTTTATATAAAATTTGATAATAAATATGTATCAAGATCTTAAAATTGAGGTATAGTGATCAATGCTCTCAGTATTCTGGATTTAGTGTTACAATTTTTTCATTAGAATGTCTTTTTTTATTATGTTGTGATTTTTATATACATATTAGATTTGTGTGCTTGATATATATGATTTTTTATATATAAATTTCAGATTAAACTACAAAGAAATGTTTTATTTCTACAATTAACCACATTATCAATTTTCCTCTCTTTTTCGAAATCTTTATCATTGATTTTTCAAGAGTGGCCACCTTTCTCCATAATCTTCACAATTAATTGTTGCTACTTACTTTTCAAAAATCTGACAGTAAATAAAGTAATTTTTATTGTAGAAATAATAATAATAATAATAGATTAATTTTGTTTGTCTAGGGAGACAAAGTCTGATGTCAAATTAGGTTTAAAAATACAACTTTCATTAATTTTAGACCAAATTGTACATTTTGTCGCATACATATGTATCGTAGATTTAATCTTCGATTTTGTCGTATAAACAGTACGTTCGATTAAATTATAGATGTTGTCTGATGTGTATTTGGGATATAAGAGAATAATTGCATCGGTTACTATGAGTCGTCGTGTATACGCAGAGTATTACAGTTTTGAAAAACCTCCAGTAGATGCCTGACATAATTTTGGGAAACACTGTAAATTTTCTATTTTCAATGTATTGCTGTTTACCAAATTGATTTAGACTAAAGATTGTTTTTGCTTTTTCTTTTTAATTGAAAAAGAAAATCATTCATAATTATAAAAATAAAGGGAAGAAAGTGTTAAATTATTTTGGCTTAAATTGGTGTAAAATTAAAATTGAAATCACGTTAATCTATGGCTGATTTGGATGATTTATTCGATTGTTTCAACCATGATGCTGATGTTAATTCTGTAATGCCATGTGTTCCTACTGTCGAAGAAAAGCTTTACTCTGACACAAGTTCATCTAAGGAGTAAGTTTTTAGTATATTTTAATGGTGAGTACTTAAATTGGCATTAATTTCAGACAGTGGTGTGAAAAAAGATCATATACTGAATCGAACAATGTAGATATTCAGATCACTGCTGAAAATGGTGAATCGCCTTATAAACGTTCAAAAATTACAGAATCAATTTTGGATGATATATGCATTGAAGATTTAAAGTCTAGAATTACAGTACATGTTATTGATTCTCCAGAATCATGTACTCATGAAGTTGCTGTATATCCTGAGCATGAATTTATTCCACTAAATCCATTATCAGGAGAGCCTGCCAAGCAGTACTCTTTTGTATTAGATCCTTTTCAGAAAGAAGCTATAATATGCATTGAAAATGGTCAAAGTGTGTTGGTTTCGGCTCACACTTCAGCTGGTAAAACTGTTGTTGCTGAATATGCAATTGCAAAATCGTTGAAAGCTAAACAAAGAGTTATTTATACCACGCCTATTAAGGCTTTGTCAAATCAGAAATATAGAGAGTTTACTGAAGAATTCGGGGATGTTGGTTTGGTAACTGGAGATGTAACAATAAACCCATCCGCTTCATGCTTAATAATGACAACAGAAATTTTAAGAAATATGTTGTATCGCGGTTCAGAAATTATGCGTGAAGTTGGTTGGGTGGTTTTTGATGAAATTCATTATATGCGTGATAAAGAACGAGGGGTGGTTTGGGAAGAAACTCTAATTTTATTACCAGATAATGTGCGTTATGTTTTTTTGTCGGCTACTATTCCAAATGCTAGACAGTTTGCTGAATGGGTATGTCATTTACATAAGCAACCATGTCACGTAGTTTACACAGATTACCGACCAACCCCTTTACAAGTAAGCTTTATTACATATCCAATTTTCTAAAAAGAAATAAAATATATTTTAATATTTTATTTCTTTTTAGAAAATTATTATATATACATATTTTATTATTATATATTTTTTATATAATAAAATAAATTTTCTTACATTTTAGCATTACATATTTCCAGCTGGTGGGGATGGCATTCATTTAATTGTTGATGAAAAAGGACAATTTAAAGAAGACAATTTCAACACAGCAATGTCAGTTTTAGCAAATGCAGGGGAAGCTTCAAAAGGAGACCAAAAAGGTCGAAAAGGAGGAATAAAAGGAAAAGACTCTGGTTCTACTAACATATTTAAGATTGTGAAGATGATTATGGAAAGAAATTTTGCTCCAGTTATAATTTTTTCTTTCAGCAAAAAAGATTGCGAAGTTTATGCAATGCAAATGGCTAAATTGGACTTTAATACAAGTGAAGAAAAGAAGTTGGTTGACGAAGTTTTTAACAACGCTATGGATGTTCTGTCAGAGGAAGATAGGAAATTACCACAAGTTGAAAATGTTTTACCTTTGTTAAGGAGAGGAATAGGCATTCATCATGGAGGCTTACTTCCTATTTTAAAAGAAACCATTGAAATTCTGTTTGGAGAAGGATTGTTGAAGGCTCTTTTTGCCACTGAAACTTTTGCTATGGGATTAAATATGCCGGCGAGAACAGTACTATTTACTGCTCCTAGGAAATTTGACGGCAAAGATTTTAGGTAAAAATTAAGTAGTAAAATCAAAAAAAATTTATAAAATAAAATAAATTCTAAGGTGGATTACATCAGGCGAATATATTCAAATGTCTGGTCGAGCTGGACGAAGAGGCCTTGACGATAAAGGGATAGTTATTTTGATGGTTGATGAAAAAGTATCCCCATCTATTGGAAGAGGTATAATACAAGGAAAAGCTGATCCTATAAATTCTGCATTCCATTTAACATATAACATGGTACTAAATTTATTAAGAGTGGAAGAAATCAATCCAGAGTATATGTTAGAGCGGTCATTTTTTCAATTTCAAAATCAGAGCAAAATTCCTGATTTGTATCAAAAAGTACTTGATCAGCAGTTAGAATTGAATAAAATAAAAATAAATGACGAGCATGTTGTAGCATCATATCATCATATTCGGGAACAGTTAGAAACTTTAGGCAAACAGTTTCGGAGTTATATTACAAAACCTGAGTATATGGTGCCCTTCTTGCAACCAGGACGCTTAATTAAAATCAAAACAGAGCTTGAAGAATTCGATTGGGGAATAGTTGTAAATTTTAAGAAACAATCAGATGAAAGCAAAAATCCACTTACTTCTGAAGTTAACGTTATTATTGACGTTTTATTGCATGTGGCTGAAGGATTTGATAAGGAAAAAGAGCCAAAACCATGTCATTCTGGTGACAAAAAAGGTAGCATGGAAGTTATACCAGTACTCCATAAACTAGTAGTGAAAATATCTTCTCTAAGAGTACATTTGCCAAAAGATTTGCGACCTGCAGATAATAGAAAAAGTTTAATAAAAATAATAGACGAAATTAAAAAGCGATTTCCAAAGGGTCCACCTATATTAAATCCAATTACAGAAATGAAAATAAATCAACCAGAATTTAAACAAATTGTTAATAATATTGAAGGTTTTGAAAAGCGTTTATATGCTCATCCTCTGCATAACAATAAGGATCTCAATAAATTATACACAAAATATATCGAAAAAATGTCTATAATGCAAAAATTAAAAGCAGCTAAGGAAGAGTTAAGAGAGGCAAGAAGCTTGTTGCAGATGGACGAACTGAAGCATAGAAAACGAGTTTTACGCCGTTTAGGATTTTGTACTGCTTCAGATGTCATAGAATTTAAAGGACGTGTTGCTTGTGAATTAAGCACTGCAGACGAGCTTTTAATAACTGAAATGATATTTAATGGTACTTTTAATAAATTAAATTCAAGTCAGTGCGTATCGCTGCTTTCGACTTTTGTATGCGACGAGAAAAGTTCAGAAATACCTGCCTCTGCAGAAGAATTATCAGGACCTTTGCGGGAAATGCAAGACTTAGCAAGAAGGATTGCAAAAGTGTCTAAGGAATGTAAATTAGATTTAGATCCAGACTGCTATGTTGAAAAGTTCAAACCGTTTTTAATGGACGTTGTTCTAGCGTGGTGCAAAGGCTCATCGTTTTTGAATTTATGTAAAATGACTGATATATTTGAAGGATCAATTATACGTTGCATGCGAAGATTAGAAGAACTATTGAGGCAAATGTGCCAAGCCTCAAAAACCATTGGAAATACTGATTTAGAAAATAAATTTTCAGAGGGAATTCGTCTAATAAAAAGAGATATTGTTTTTGCTGCTTCTTTATATTTGTAAATTGTTCACGAAAATTTTAAATAAAAATATTATATAAAATATTATTACAAAATTTACACTATCCTTATATAATTAACTTTAAAAAACCTCAAACTTGCACATGCTTTTATTTGCTTTTATATTAAACTATTCACTTTCTTAATGTTGCTTGTTATTTACGTGGTTTCAGATTTTGTGCAGCTTGAGATATTACACAAAGAACTGCTTGCAATTGAATCGCATATTGCCGACGAATACAGAAAATAAAATAAACTTAAAGTATCGTTCGCATCGAGAGGTTTTTATTGTTCCGTTTTAAAACAAAAGTTTGTGAGAGCATGAATTACTTTTCTTATAGAAAGAATCATCTAGCGAAAAGTCCAGAATCTAGCAAGAAAACCAATGTAACTAGTCGCAATTAGCCCATAAAAAAGTTAATAAATCAATACCCAGAAGATAGGTGCACAACACATATATACAAAAGAAATCAACAGTGCTATTAGGCATCGTTAATTTTTTTGTATTAGCCATTTATGAACATAAAGATACATATATGTATTTATCCATGCACGGTATGGAATATTAGATAAGGATTTTCCGAGATATACACAGTAACATTCCATTACTACTTGACGACTTGAACATCTTTTAACATAAATCTTTATTACAAGGCAGTTTTTTGGTTTTTGCACATTTTATTTTCGGAGGGGACTCACTTTACTTTCGGAGGGGAAAACATTTACATCCTTTATGTAAATAAAGGTTTTTCTCTAGGCTCTTGAATTTTTCTTGCATGTCGTTTAATTTAAATTTTTCTCAAATATATTGACGAAAATGAAAAAACGAAGTGCTCCTGATCTTTAAATCCTAATAACTTATTAAACCAAAAATTATTTGAAAAAGAGAAATATTTAAATGGTCTATTTACTTAATATTATGTACATATGTATATAAATTTTTTATGGTAATATATTGAACGAATATCTACATATGCAAATGAAATTAATTTTATAATGTATGTACTTACTTTAATTTCTTTAGAAAGGATTCGAAAACTGCTGATAGTTCTTAGTTATATTTTATGTTTTGAAAATTTGGAATGCATCCAAAACATTGAATTGCAGATAATCATGTATTTCTACTGACTTCTAAAATAAGTTCTAAGACATCTTTTTATTTTATGAAAGTAAGTAATTCAAATAGTAATAAACAGTAACAAACATTTCTTATTGAAAAAAAATTAAACAGAAACTGTTAAAAACATGAAATCATATACTTAAGCTAAAGTACAAGTTTTTTTTTCAATTTGTCATAAATTTTATTTTAAACAATGAAGAACTCTAAAAGTTAAATTTTATAACATGGACACTTTTTAACTACGAATACATACAAAAATGAATGGACGGAATTCTGATTGGAATATTATGTAGCTACTTTTTTTTACATAATTACAGCTTAAATTCTAACAATTAAAATATACATATGTAAATCTTAAATTATATGTATGAACGTACTAATCAAAAATTTTTCTCAAACGTACACACAAAATTAAAAAATTAAAATGAAAGCTAATACTAAAAACTATTCTAGTCTAATTAAGTCTAATCATCGTGAATCTAATTTTTTTCAAACAAATTCGTATTTAGTATTCGTATTGACTTTATGAATTATGCAAACTTAATATAATATAAATTAAGCAAATTTTAACTTCGTTTCTAAATTTTTTATTGGCAAAAACAAATAATTTGTTTTTTAATTGGATATTGTGAATCTAAAGCATGGTTTTTAATATACATATGTACTTAAGAACTGCAAAACAAGTTTTTATTTTAATTGACTGAAGCTTTCAAAATTTCGGAATTCTAAAGTTGAAAATAATTTTAACTTGTTTACATAAATAAATGGTTAATTAAAAAGTAGATTTAATGCATTGGATGAAAAACTTTCCTGAAAAAAATCTTGTTGGATATAAATATATTTCGAATTTTATTGTTGTAATGACGTATCCTAGTTACATACATAAGTATGTATGTATTTTAAAGATGTGATTTTAAAAATGATTAAATTTTATAATTTCAATAAAAAAAAAAATTGATATTATCAATGTAGTTTCACATATTCATAAGAAAAATTTGTAGGTTTCAGCGATATATTATTAAATAACTTCATTATGCGTGTAATAAAAAAGTTATAAAATAGGTTTGAAAATTTGGAAAGATTCGCCGTAGGAGTTAAGCTTTGACTCTTGTTAACTTTGGAAAACCACCAAAAAAATAGTTACGCTTTCATTAACAAAACAATTCTTTGGCCCTAAGAATATTAATTTTTTACTTAATTTAGTTTTTTGTAATAAATTTTGTAATAAAGTTTAAAATATAAATATTTGAATATAATTTTTGTAATAAATTTTGCTTAACAAATTTGTTTAAATACAACGAAATTTATTATAATATTTATTTTAAATTTTAATACTCAAAAATAGTAGTTAAATAATTTTAAAATATTTTTTAAAATAAATTTATAATTTTTTCGAATCCTTAATTTTTATATGTGTATTTTAAACTGAAGAAAACTTAAAACTTCCTTTAATTAGAAAAATTCACATTATTTGAAAATCAGAATCACATTATTTGTAAATCAGAAAATCATTTTTGATAAAGTGCTTAAGTACGAATTAAAGGGAGTTTGTTTTTAATTGTTAAAAAATTGGTTCACAAAGGCTTATTTCTAGCGAGATCTCAAATTACTTTAACATAGATTATGTAGGTAATAGAATTGCTTATATATATGTAATTATTACAATTTTTGAAAAATTAATTGTTATTTTAATCGTTTACAAAACATTCCCAACTACATAATGCATATGTTTTCGAAATACATAATATTAAAAAACTTTTTAAAATTGCACAAATTGTTTTGCCCTATGTTTTTCAAATTAAAAAATAATTTATAGCCTATACAGACGAGTACGTATAGTAATAATGAAGGCTTATTATTTAATTATGTAAGTAAAAGTAAAATGACAAAATCAACATCAAATATGTACAGTGCTAAAGATAAAAAAAAAATTGATCAAGCAATATTTTATATGTATGTATATTACAAACATATACAATTGTATGCATAAAGACACAACAAATTGTAATTGTTTCATTTTACAAATTTTTGGTCTATTAATAAAGTGCTTTTTTCTAAAGAAAGAATTATTAATTAAAAATTACCTATAAATTTTTTATAGGTACTTTTTTAACAGGTCAATGACAAACATAAATTCTTCTGTTGCGAAATGAAACAGTGTAGGCATAACGTTTACAAAGTATATGGAGCATACATTGTTTTATTTCTCAACAGACGAATTGTATAGATTTACAAAAAAAGGAGGGAAGTTATTTTACTAAAGTATTCATTTTACAGAAAATAAAAAAAAACATTTACTGCTAACTATTTAGACTCAAGTCGAATTCTTCTTTTTAATTTTTTTTTTGCTTATGGATGGATGTACCCACATATACGGAAATATATGATGTTTTGAAATTGAAGATATCACAATATTATCCGAGAAATTCAAATTCAATTTAACTAAAAACTTGATTTTCTTGATAAAGAAATATATGTATGTGTGCGTAAGGTACAAATGCATTTTTATGTACCTACTTACATATTTAAATAAATAAGAGCACTATTAACACTTGTTCTTTAATAAAATAAGAATTTTATTGATATAATTTCCTCAGATTTTAGTGTCTTTTTTCGTTCCTTTATTCACTAAAATGAAATCCAAGTAATAAAAAATTTTAGTTATGGAGGCCTATTTTATTCGTCTATGTTTAATGTATTTTGCGAATAAAATACTTCTGAACTATCTTAAAAAAAAATGGAAAATAATTAAAATTATTTTAAGGGTTAAATGTTTTTATTAGTAATTTTCGCTATGAAAAAATATAATGTTGTGGAACTCTATCCTTTGTTTTCGGCGTTACTATTATTTTTGATGTATGAATGAATATATTTAGTAATAACTTTTAATAGAGTTCGTTTAAAGAAAACAGTAGTGGAAAATGTAATTTTTGTTTATTGACAAAATGCAATTTTATTGTAGACTGAAAAATTAGGTCTGTCTAGTATAAAACTTAAAAAACTTAAAAAAGAGAAAACAATGACGTGATTTCTCGCAAAAATAAAGAAAAATAGATAAACGTCAAATTTCTTAATATTTATCAAACATAAACAAATTTTTTGCTTAAAAAAAAAAACAGAAAATTTTGATTTTGAGCCATAAAAGTGTGGAACTTAGAAAAGACCAACTTAGAAAGTCAAAATTTTCAGTTTTTGGTATAACCAAAAAATATTTGTTTATGTTTGATAAACACTTTGAAATTTTAATAACTTACATAAAGTTTTTTAAAGTTTTGTGTCTGGTTTATTTTTTTTTTAAATGAAAAGTTTTTTTTCTTTTTGGGGGAAATTTCGTCATTGTTTCTCTTTTTAAAGTTTTTTCAAGTTTTATTCCAGCCAGACCTATTATTTCTTACATATTTATGTGTTTGACTTTATAAAAACTTATAATAGGTTAATTATATCTATTAGTTATATTTAATTAAATGTTATGAATGTGAGCCTAAGCACGTGTGGAAAATGAAAAATGAAAAAAAAACTAATTTTAAAACTAAATACTCGTATATACACATTTATATAATTTTATACAGATGTTTGTGGTATTCCTTCAAACAACATAGTCCTAGGAGAATGTTTTACATTACTTCGCAGCCTAGCGAGTGGAGGGGTTTGACTGATTGAACTACTTTTACCCGTTATAGATCTATTCGAAATAGAATCTTTTTCTGGGGAAATTATACACGATTCTTTAACTAATAGACTTTTTTCTTCTGATGAAAAATGTGGTTGTTTTCTAGATGTTTCTTTTACGTTATTTACTCCAAATACAGTTTCGGTTCCACTTGTATTTATTTTGGGGTCATTTTCGATTTTATTTCGAAGTTTTTGTTCAACGGATTGTGTCATTGTTGGTATTTGGAAAGAAGAAGTATTATCTTTAGCAGAAATTCCACTTTTCAGGGAAATTTGACTACCAAATTTCTGGGTCACACCAATTGAACTTACTGCATGTGTGGATGAATCGTCTGCAAGAGGTTTTTTTTTTGTAGTCGATTCGCGATATTCATAAATGTTATCTCGTGATTTAACCGAGTTGTTATGAACAAGCATATGTGTGTTTTCAATACCAGTAATACTAGGACCGCTTCTTGTTGATTCGACGTTATCGATAAAAAATATATCTTCCTCAAGACGATCAGCTTTACTGTTAAAATAAAATTTTAAATTGAAAAAGAAAATTTTAAATAAACTAAAAATCATTACAGTTTTGAATTTCTCCACATTATGCAACATATGAAGACTAATACTATTAACAACAGGCAAGCTGCTGTCATTGACCAGAAAGCAATTTGCAATGGCTCATGTGGCTCCCACCAAAATTCTGTAGTTGGGGGATATGTTGGAATCAAGACGCCAATAACGGTTGGTAAATACTGCATCCAAAATGCACTCTCAGTTTGCCGATAATTCATTTTAATTGTAGAATTGAAAGTTGTATTAATATTTAAATACCTAAGTTCACCTTGATAAGCCTTTTCAAAATGTAACCCAAGAACTTGTTGAGGGGTCGGATTTCTGAAAAATTAATTGAAATTTCATCGTAAAAACCAAGTGAAAAGTAAACTTTGATAATTATTTGATGAATTTACCCAAATCTTGCAAAGTTGCTAAATGTTTGCATAAAAAAATGACTCATGTTACGATCATTGTCTGTCCACATATTTCTTTCAAATCTTGCTGCAGTTGGAAAGAATTCAACGTCCATAAATGGGGCCCCCGTTAAAAGATAGTGTTCAATATCATGGGGATATTTTCGCCACTCAGGGTAGCTAAATGCTTCAATTGTGGTATTTAATACGAATATATAAACTGGAACTTTTTTCTCTAATAATAACTTAGCCATTTTATCTACTGGAGCAGTGTACAAAAAATCTGAGAGAAAGTTTATATACATTTCCCTGATCCAAGTAACATTCTTAGGATCTGGGTGGTATGTATACATATATTTAATTGCTTCGAAAACACCATTTGGATTTAATGTATAATTATAACGTAAGACAAATTCACGTATTTTCTCTTGGAAAAACTTTTCATCTACTATGTAATTGGGTTTTAAACTATCATTTTGAAAAATAAATGACGCAGCCTCTTGTGTTGTCACACCAGTCATGTAATGTAGTCCCTTATTGAATTTATTTTCTCGGTACAATTTTTCTGGCATTTCCGATAAAAATTTCCAATCACTTTCTCGCCAACCTTCATACCAATCATCACCTGGATATGTGAAGTTTTTATCTAAAACGGGACCCCATGCAAAAGTTCCAACTTGTGGGTCCAACTCAGCATTTCCAAGCTCCTCAAAACTACGAGATCTTAAACAATTTACTAACTTCCAACTTGAATCAATATAACATCCCAATTTTTGGCCCAAAACTCTGCTTGTGTTTTGTGACCTATATTTGTCGGAAATTAATGCCCAATCAGCGAAAGCAGAACCAGAAAGACCTATTACTCTACCAATCATATGCTTTGTTTGTGGCGCTACAGCTAATAGCCCAGCTGAAGCTGCGCCAGCGTCTGGCCCAAATAGCGTAATCAAATTTCGATCCCCATTGAAGAACTCTATATTCTCATAGACCCAACGTATTGCCATAGATTGATCAAGAATTCCATAATTTCCTGGAGAGTTTTCATCTGCTGTTGAAAGAAAGCCAAGAGCACCCAAACGATAGTTAATGGTAACAACTACAACATTATAAAAAGTGGCTAATATATGGCCCGGAAACAAATTTGATGCTCCACGTTCAAAGTGTCCTCCGTGAATATAAATCATAACAGGATATTTTTCTGGAACGGCTCCACCACCTGTCTGAAAAATAAATTTCAAGTGATAATATTAATACCGTGCACAATATTTTTGTTTTACTTTAATTTCATCGAATTAAATAACTTACCTTTGGAGAAAATACATTAAGATATAAGCAATCTTCGTGAACGTCACGTATTCCTTTTGTTGCACCTGTAAAACGAGGATGTTGTGGGCAAGCTGGTCCAAAGTCTACAGCTTGAAGAAGTTGCCAACCACGATGTAATCGCGGAGGTTTAAAACGCCCTTCATTTACTGGTGGTAAGGCGTAAGGGATTCCAAGAAAAACCGAACATTCCCCTTTCTTTTGGTCAACTGGACTGTGATATGGTCGATAAAATGATTTTGGATCGGGGTCGTCATATATTGCCACCTTAAATCCTTGAACTTGTCCATAATTAGTTGTAACAAAAACATTCCTTTGTGGGTCTAATGTTACTGAATCTGGACGCTGTTTTCCTTGGAGATCCTTGCGCCATCCTCCGAGAATACCGGGAAAAGGAGTTAACGGAATGCTGGGATTGTTCTAAGATATGATATTTTTAGCTTATTGAAATATAAATTTGTTTGCTATAAACATATTGTAAATGTACCTCAAAGATAAAGTATTTTACAATAATTGTATGTATAACGTCGAAGCTCTTTTAAGTATAAATTTTGCATTCGCTTATTTTTCATATAAGATTCGTGAAAACAAAATTTTTTTTCAATAATTCTCATAAGGAAAAATATGATAAATTATTGCAAGAGTTATTAGAATTTTCGTTTTATTTCACTTAGTATCCTTCAAGATAAAAAGTTTAAGACTATTAAGATATAAGTTGACATAAGTTTTAGACTATTACCTAAATTTTAGTGATAGGATTATTTCTTATATTTTACTTGATATATACTTAAATTCTTCGTATTGAAACAATGAACATATAAATTTTTTGAAAAGATCAGGGCTCGAAACTCATCTGCGGGCCGATTTTACATTTTTCACCATATCTAGGGAACGAATTGATGGAATTTCTTGAAATTTGATATTTGAGTTCTGGTTGTTACCGAAACTAACTGGCTAACATCACCTATCAATCGTCACCTATGCGTCGATTGTATGGTGCCGTAAGGCTCAGCAGGCGGGTGTGCGGGCCAAGCTAGAAAAGCTACAGAGGCTGGCCTGCCTGGGAGTGACCGGGGCGATGCGGACGGCTCCCACCGCTGCATTGGAGGTGATGATCGGATTGCCGCCACTGCACCTCCATATATTGAAGGAAGCTCGGCTGGTGACTTACCGACTTCTCTCTGGCGAGGACGGGGCAGGGCTAAAGTTGGCCCACAGAACTCACAGAGACTTCATTGAGGGCGATCCGATTCTAAGGATAACCATGTCAGATACCTGTCTGCCGCGGTACAACTTCGACCACAAGTACAGGGTTCTGTTTCCTGATCGATGGACGTGGGATCGGGGTGGTCCGGTACTTAGGTCGGGTTCGAGCGTGTGGCCTGTGTATTGCACAGTGTTCCAGGCCGAAATACATGCAATAGAGATCTGTCTGAGAATCAATTTGGAAAGGGGGTATAGAAACCGCACCATCTATGTGTTCTCAGACAGCAGGGCTGCACTGCTGGCGCTCCGTTCAGCTCAGGTTACATCCAAGCTGGTCTGGAGCTGCCTTGCTGCACTTATGGAATTGGCATCGGAAAACAGAGTGATGCTCATTTGGGTGCCGGGCCATAGTGGCCATGCGGGCAACGAAGTTGCCGATGAGTTGGCGCGGAGGGGATCTGGGGCTGCCTTTGTGCAGCCGCTGCCTTTCTGTGGTCTGCCTTCTTCCGCCGTGGGGGCCAGGCTTGCCTGCCTACTCGCGGCGGAATGCAGTCGTCACTGGCGGGACACGAAAGGGTGCCGTCATGCGAAGGTGTTTGTTCCGGCGTGCTCCGGCGGATTCGCTGCGGAGTTGCTGGGGATGAGCAGGAGCCGGGTTCGCACTATTGCGAATTTCTTCACGGGGCACTGCCCGGTGAAATACCACCTGCACAGGCTGGGGAAGTCGGGCTCCCCCCTGTGCAGATTTTGTGGGGGTGGCGATGAGACCGCCGTGCACATTCTCTGCGACTGTCCGGCACTGGCTGTTCGGCGCCGCAATTGTCTTGGACATGGGTCCCTAAGTGTTCGGGAACTATTGTCCAACTCCCTTAGGGATATCTCCGGCTTTGTGATTGGGACGGGGATATTATAGACGGGAGAGTGGGGTGGCTACAATAAGTCAAAAATGGCTGCGGTGGCTTGGGGGGATGCTCCTGTCCCCACTCAGTTCCCTTAGAATCTACAATCTACAATCTACAACTGGCTAACATTTCAGGGAATTCAGGTAGCACAAAGCGAAACGCTACTTTGAGCCAAATTTACATTTTTCTAGGTATGTTAACTTTTAGCTTACTAATGTCCTAAAAATTGGAAAGAAGTATTTAACAGACATTTTTGTAATATTCTGAAACACTTTCACTTAGCTAGAAAATACACATTGTGGTCGGTTATGTGCTGATCACATCAGTTTTTTTTATCATAGGAAACTATAGCCATATTAAAATTTTATATATATTGATAATTACTTGAAAAAAACTTTGTAACACCTCCCCTTTCAGAGTTTTTACTCATCAAAATTTAAAAAATTTCAATTTTGCGTTTCCATTTCTTTAACTTTATGTATACTCTACTTAATTTCCATCTGACACAAAAATGTAACAGCAATCATCCTCTTACTTAGAAGTAAACCTGAGTAAAAATATTTTTCGAAATTTATTACTCAGAGATTTCTGCCGAATTTATGCAAAATTCTTTGATAATAAAATTTTCTAATGCAATAGATGCTTTTCATTACTTCATTATACCTAATCATTGTAAGTTAATACGAGTACCAAGTATGTTGTACGTATATAACTAATACTAATCTCTAGACTCAAGTTCTTAATGGACAATTTACTATTTTATAAATGATGGATTTCATCTACGAGTACTAAATTTTTCTACAGATTAACGTTTAATTGTAAAAAAGGAATAAACCATATGTATTATATTTGTATAATGTATGTAAATAATATACATACATAAATAATATTAACATAATAGGTCGGGAAATGTTTTAATTACAATAAATGTAATTAGGGGGTTTTCGTTTATGCACGCTGCGCTGAAAGTTCTACATTAGAACAAGAATTTCTAAGTTGCAGCGTTAAACAGTATGCAAAAACTTTGCTAATTTTTTTTTGTTTAAGCAGTCTAGCAATTTTGAAGCTTCGTTCGAAAATAACAGAAATGACATTATATATAAAATTGTATTCAATAATTTTCGCCTTCTATTTCATTGCAAAATAAGGAAATTTTAACAAGATTTGAAAACTTAAAAAAAAATTTACTTTAATAACCTTTCAATATTTGAATCTGCTATTTTGAAATTTAAATTTTTTTTTTGAATTTTGAATTTAAAAAAAAAAGAAACTTCATGACAGCAACAAAATTATACTAGGGGTCTGCGCTACATTTCTAACATTTCTTTATTACAGATTGAATTGCAGATGATTCTGAAAGTTTTTATTGCAGGCAGTATTTCCGAACGATCTATAATTTTAGAATATGTAGCGTGAATTTTCGAACGTACTAGAAGTTAGAACTATTCTAGAACTGAATAAACGGAAACCCCCTTAAACTAAGTTAAATAAAAATTTTATGATAATAAAAAATAAATATGTAATGTATACACTTACGGGATCATATCGAAACGTATCCTGCCCTTGCGGATAGCCTTGAGGATACTGATCAGGTTTATACTGTCCAGGATATTTTTGTCCATAACCATTAGGCTGATAAAATCCATAACGTCGATCATTGTGTGTATAAGTTCTAAATTATGAAAAATTTCATTAATTCTTAAATATAAAATAAGTAACTAATTTGTTAACCGATAATCTGGATCCCCAGGGTTTTGAACAGGAAAATCAACTCCTTCTCTTGAATAAAATCTTGGGTCACGCGTGGGTAATAAAAGTTGTGCTTCTACTAAGTTGAAATGTTGGATAAATATGAAGTACTGGCAGTATACAAATACTATCAAATTTAATTTTGGTTTTCTAAAAATTTGTATCCAATTTTTCTTTTTATTTTGTGGTGAAATGTTTTTCATTTTGTATCGGTAATTTAACTTTCTCTTGTATGTTATTGTGAATTAAATTATATGAGCGATAATCTAAAATATTTTTAAGTTTTCTAATTCTAATAATAATGAAAGAGAAGAAAAGAACTTTTAGTAAGGCTTACAGCAATATTTTTAAAACAAAAGTAGAATTTTCCTTATGCTTTGTTTGCAATGCAATTCGAACAACTCTAAACCAAAGGAAACCAAAGTACCATGGTATTTTTATTTTGAATTGACTAAATACATATAAGTATACATATTTAAAAATCTAAGATTTTGGCGTTTTGTTAAATTTATTTTGTTTTATTTAATTTCTAACAAAAAAAATTTTTTAACGCCATTCAAAATAACTAACGCAAAATAGGTTTTCAAATTTTTACTTATAAATATGAATTTTAAATGTTTTCCCAGCATCATTAAAAACACTGTGGTTTACATTATATCAACATATCAATGAGAAAGTTAAAAGTTAAGCTTTACTTGAGCTTGGCGTTGCTACATTAAAACTTTGTTTTATGAATAAGATTCCTGTATTTGCTATAGTTAAACTTTTCTGTTTTCCGCTAGCGTTGCATTGCTTTACTTTGGGCTAGTTTTACAAACTGAAATTGAGTTTTTAGTTTTATTTAGGTTTTGTAACAATGTGTATATCACATATGTATAAGAACCACATAATATCCAGTTTTTTGTTATAATAATTTTATTTATAAGGAGATAACTTATTTATACAATCTTTCTTATAAGCTATACAAATAAATCAAATTGTTTTTATATCATATACGTATACATACATACATATACACTTGCAAGTGGCTTGAGTAATTCGATTCCTACTTTGAGACATCATAGTTTAGTAAAGTAACCAATATACCTAGAAACTAATATAAATTGTTCAAGTGTTTTTTAAACTAAAATATAAATTAAATTTATTATTTAAAATTTTTGTTATGTTTAATAAATAAATATATGTCTATATACATATACATATATGTATGTATGTATAAGTTTATATTTTATTAGACGGCTTAGCTCTAGAATTTCAAAATTAAATATAAGCAAAGCTATTTTGTTTTAAATTGTAAAGATAACGACATAGATTTTATTTTAATTGGCTACATTCACTTAAGATAATTACAATCATTATAATTCAAAATGCTAAATTAGGTGATTGAAATTAAAAATTTCAAATTATATACTTTCATATAATGTTAATATAATTAAGTGCATAAAAACATACATACATACTCCATTTCTCGTTTATTTGCATTTCTAACACTAGTGCGTAATTATTTAATTTCCACAAAATACAATATGAAAATCAAATGTAAATATAAAGGAATCTGCTCTTGTTCTATATTGTTAAATATGAGTAGAAAAATAAAGAAACCTTATGTACTTATGTACATATGTACTTATATATTTATCTAGCATTTTCTCAATAACTATACACAGTATAGGCAAAAAATTGGTAGAGGTATGAGGTAAAATACAATTAAATTATTTTATTTATCCGCATATGGTAGTAATTATATTATATTAAAATATCATGCTTCTGGAGTACAAACAATGTAATAATGAATTTATGTATTAATAGACCTTTAGTCAATAATATAATAGCTGCCTCATACAGATATACTAAAAGAAATACATTATATGTATTAAATAAATTAATAATTTCAATTTTGAATAAAACACAAAACTACTGTTATTTACTTAATTAATTTTTAACGTTTTCATAAATGTGTGGATTACTATTGTGTATATTTAGTATCTTCACACACGTTTTATTTGTACCTGTGTATGTTTATGTAAGTGTATGAAAAATAATTTAATTTATATGTATGTAGGTTAGGACGTTGAGTTTCTTTTTCAAGAAAATAATAAAAAAAAACAAAATATAAATAAAATTGCGAAGAGAAAACAAAGCGAGTAATATTTTCTATGACGTCACTTCAAAACTGGCTTTGTTGAACATGCTGTAGAATCTAATTTTTGTTATTAATTTTATTACTTGAATAAAAAATATAAAAAAAAAATGTTCGTGGTGTTTGCTTATAATAATATAATTTGAAATGATAAGTTCTTGTGTTCTTTTTTAAAAAAAGTAAAGTTATATTTTTCATTACAGAATTTTTTATCTTTTATTTCACTAATTTTAATATGAAACAAAATGGTTTCGTTAAAAATTTAGAATATACGCTAAAATATTATATGTATATAACTTCATGCATACATAAACTAACACTTGCATCTTTAATTTACTTTAGCAACACAAACATATACAGAATATATCCACATATTTATTTGTATGTAAATTCAAATGAATAAAAAAAAATAATATTGCACTATAGTTCAATTTTTAGCTGTTATAAAAATTGAACATTTATTGCTTTGTTCAGGTGTCATGTTTCACTTTTATTCATTGCGATTATTAAAAGAATTTATGAAATAATTTTTTCATAAAATAATGTTAAGTACTTAAAAAATTAATGATTTAATGGCACTTCTTAGAAAATAATATTTTAATAATTTTTTTTTTATTTTTGTTCCGTCACAGTTTGTAAATGAATATACATAAATTGTAATTGAACTATTTTAAATGTAAATGTAATCAATTTCTTCCATCATTTGTTATCTACAAAATTTTGATAAGAATTTCGTGTTTTCTTTTAGCACTTTACACTTCTAGAATTTATCATTTTTTTGTATTAAATCTAAAATGATTTTTTAATCTTCATACACGCTCATATTTTCACTTTTTTTAGAATATATTTGTTTACTTTAATTAGTCACTAATTTTGCTAATAATTTCCATACTTTGCTTTTATGTAAAAAAGTTCTAAACTTCACATAATCTCCTGTTATCATTTTCCTAAAGTATAATATTTTGTTTCACATCGTACTACCTGCATATCCATATACATATACACATGTAATTCATATTAGCATAAATTATGTTAATTATTAAAACAAATAATTTTTATACTTGTACATTATATATTTTTTAAAAATGAACTAAACATATTTTTAGTCCAATATCCAATGTTTTGCAATGTTAATGCCACGATAAGTAAAAGTAGAGGGAATTTCTTATGCACAAGAACAACAACAACAAATGAACAAAATTGTAAGACGTTCAAATTACTATCCGACAATAATTTTCAGAGTATAAGAGCTGAATGCAAACTAAATAACTAAAAGTTATATTTTTTTTCTGAATTCATTTACAATTTTTTCAATTTTCTCTACCTTACATTTATACATAACTGGTAAACACTAACAAAAATTGTATACACTTGCTACATTAACACATTACTAAAACAAATTTAAAGTCAACTGTAATGAAACCGCTTAATAAAAAATGTTTTGATAATATTGTTTAATTTTTATTCGTTGGTATCGTTAGTTTGAGTTATATTATTGCACTCTGTGAGTGAACTGGTAGTTTGAGTCATCAATGATCGTGAATCATGATTATTGAAAATTGAGAATACGAGTGTTCTTTTTCTTATATTTTTAAGCGTAAATATTTTATTGAATTTTTCTTATTAAAAATAATGAATGGTGTGTTTTGTATGTGTGAGTGAGATTAAATTTATCAAAAGAAGATAAATAACATATTTATGTAAATATGTTACTAAAAATGTTCAGAGTTTACTTGTCGTGTTAATATAAAAAGATACAGGTAAATTCGTTTAATTTCACGTGTTTATTTATTTGTTCACGCAATATTTTTGTTGAAGATTTTCCAATTTTGTTAAAGATTTTTTGTGCATAATATATGTATAGTGAAAAATATTTTTTAAAAAATATTTTTTTATTTTAACAAAATATTTCAATTATTTACAATGTTTAAAATTTAATTACATACTTATTCAATTACATAATGTTATATGTCGCATGTTTAGAATGAGAGTGGAGCATTGACATTACAGGTTTTTTGAGAAAATTCAATATTTTATAATTCTCTTTGAAGAAAAAATATTTTATGATTGATGTTTATCTTTTGACGACTACAAGATTTCCACATTTAATAGAAATTTTTAAAAATCCAAAGGTGAATATTTTAAATATATGAAATTAAGTAACCAGTTTGGCTATCGTATTTAATTTTTATTAGTTTCACTGTAAAAGTTTAGTTTTTTATTAATCCTTCCGTTTATTATTAGTTTGTCCGTTGATGTGTCTGTTTGCAAAACCTCTCACTTATAGATACAAAACATTCCATATAATATTTTTAATAACAAAAATTCAATAAAATACTAAAAAAAATATTCTCAATTTACATGAATTGTTGCCTATTTATTCCGCTCTAAAAGTTATATATAGTGGACTTCTTCTACCGCAGTTAAACTAAAAAAAAAATGGCCGTTAAAATTAACCGTTATTTAAAATCCATTTCTTCCAAATTTTGTTTGTTAGCTGCTTTTAGATAATATATTTACAAATAATTTATTTTGTTAGAAAAAAAATTTTTTTAAATAGGTCCCTTCTCAAGTTATAGCCTTTTAAAACTTGTAAAATTTGAATTTTTAGTACCTTATATTTCCGAAACAGCAACCTTCTCCAAATTTATATAAATGCAGAAAGCTAACGGGAAATGACATGCTATTAAAAAGATTTTGATTGATATCAAAAAAAGTTATTTACCTTAATTCACGCAATTAACCCTTAAATTCACAATTATGTTAATGTTTCTTTAACTTTTTTTTTGTATCGTCCTACATTTATGCAATTTTTGAAATATTTTCGTATATGAATGAAAGCAATTTAGACAATGTAACACAGATTGTTTTTAAGGCACTTATTAAAGGGAAAAGTGTTACTTTACAAACCATTCGTTTGACCCAAACTTATATTTAACTAAATTTAACTCTCATTCCGCTGTTCTACTCGGAGACTCCTAGCACTTCTCTTGCCTTGACCTCCGCACCCCTGGTCTTGCCTATTATTTGGTGTGTGTTTTTACTTGTAACGCTATTAATCGTTAGTACACTGTCCAAGTATCCAAACTTATCCAAATCCTCTTTGCGTATCCTTTAAATATATCTTTGTTGGTTTTTGGTGTCATGCGGAGGCGGAAATAAATGTCTTCTTCTCTTTCTGTGCTTATTAATAGTGGTTTAGCTTTAGACTTATGACTATTTCACCTGGCTTCGAGATTTCTGTGAGAGCTGCAAAATTATTCATTCTCTTTGTGCCGTTATTTCTCTCATAAATCTACCGAACACTCTGAAGATGAGCAGTGGAAACATTCATTACTCAACTCAACTTTAAAATATACTTTAATATTCTTCTCAAACGAGGTAAACTTCTCACACAAAGTATAAAATTCAATATTTTGCTTATTATTACGATCGAATTATATAAAAATATATATCTTAGTAAGGATATGTCTTAATAAAATATATGGTTCTTGCGTTTCTAAGCAAATTATTATGTTATACATATCACTTTTTACTTGAGTTTTGAGTGTTTTCCTTCCTACAATACACGTATTATTTTACTTGCTGTAGTGTTTCTTGTGAATAATCTAAAATTTTTTACTAATTCAATTTTCAATTTCTCTTTGAAGAAAACAATTTTTTTTTAATTAGTAAATTCAATTTTCCTTTCTCTTTGAAGAATCTTCCTTTTTTGTAAAGAAACCTTCATTCATCTATGAAGAGTGCAGAATACGATGTTTGAATTTAGTTTCCCAAATATTTTGATTGTCATTCCTGTATTTTTTACTAAAAAAGGACATATGTATATACCTTACCAAGCAACACATTTACACATATTACTAAAAAAACTCAATTCGGCATAGCTGTATCTGATACTAAAATAAATTATTATGAAAATACAAGATTAAAAAATAAAGTAATGATGAATTACGTTAAAAAGCAATTAAAAAATATGATTTGGTTTTTATATATAT